TAAAACCGAGGTTATCCAAGGTTGTCCAATCAACCATGTTTTTGGACTGTGTGGGGAAACCAGAGTACCCAGAGGAGGATTCATTTTGGTACTTATGGGTTTTTAAAAAAAATAAAAAATTAAAATAAGTAATGGTTTCTCACTTGACTGTATTTCAATCAGTTTTAAAAAGAACTTGCCAAATTTGTACACCCAACAGCAAGAAAACACCGCTGAGGATGTATGCAGATCAAAAGCTATCAATTTTTCATGGCTTGTTGATGCATGGAATAGTTTCTTGCTCAGCCTGAATTTGTTTCATGTTGCTGTGCGAGTTCCTGACTGAATCTGCATTCAAATTTCACAATTTCTGGTGCCTTCTCTTCTATTTGTGGATATAGTTTAAAGGCAACATGAGATTTAAAAGTTATCCACCCGCAACTCAGTGGTTTTACTTCTTTCATCTTAACTTTTTTTATCGAAATAACTTTTTGTGTTACATTTGTCAACACAACATGTTGGTCTTACCGAGCACCATTGTCCACATACAGTATACACACAGATTGACATATATGCCTACAATATACTTAACATATATTTAAATATTTAAACTATTTTACATATATTTACATACACAACACATATGTACAGATATTTGCATGTGCCACATACGTAAATACACGTAAAGTGGCCAATTCAAAATATTTAAATATATGTGACATACATTGTAGACATGTATGTTGAATATGTTTAACTATATTTTTCTTTCATATGGACCGTCTCCTCTCTAAAACCACAGATCCGTGCCGTATGATGTAAGGTCAGCAGAGTTAAAATGACTGAATAAATACAGTTTTGTGCAGCACAGTGTGTAAGTGACACATTTCATGTATGGACAAATGTAATGCAGTAGCACCTTCTTCTAAGGTGACATTTACAATCAACCGTGTGCAGAAAAACGCCCACATCACCCGAGTGTGTGCTTCAGAAAAACACCCACATCAACCGAGTGTGTGCTTCAGAAAAACACCCACATCACCCGAGTGTGTGCTTCAGAAAAACACCCACATCAACCGAGGGTGTGCTTCAG